TTTTAAGATGTATTTATTTATTAGAGAGAAAGAGAGCAGAAGCCAAGGGAGAGAGAAAATATCATGCAGACTCTGCTGAGCATGGAGCCCAATGTGGTGCTCAATCCCACAGTCCTGAGATGATGACCTGAGCTAAAATCAAGAGTCAGACACTTAACTGACTGAGCCACCCAGGTGCCCCAAGTTCTACCAAATGTTTAAAAAATTATTATCTATTCTGGTCAAACTGTTCAAAAAAAAACAGAAGAGGAAGGAAAGCTTCCAAATTTATTCTATGAGGCCAAATTTATTCTATGAGGCCATTACCCTGATAAAGACATCACAGGAAAAAAAAAAAAAAAGAACTACAGGACAATATGTCTGATGAACTTAATGCAAAAATCCTCAACAAAATAGGAGAAAACCAAAAACAACAATGCATTAAAAAAACATTGACCACGATCGAGTGAGATTTATACCTAGGATGCAAGGGTAATTCAATATTCCCACATCAATCAACGTGATACATCACATCAACAAAAGATAAGAACAATATGATCATTTCAATAGATGCAGAAAAAGCATTAGACAAAGTACAACATCTACTTATGATAAGAACCCTCATTCGGGATCTCTGGGCGGCTCAGTGGTTTGGCGCCTGCTTTCGGCCCAGGGCGTGATCCTGGAGTCCCGGGATAGAGTCCCACTTTGGGCTCCCTGCATGGAGCCTGCTTCTCCCTTTGCCTGTGTCTCTGCCTCTCTCTCTCTCTCTCTCTCTCTGTGTGTGTGTCTATCATGAATGAATAAATAAAATCTTAAAAAAAAAAGAACCCTCAACAAACTAGGTTTAGAGGGAACATATTTCAACATAATAAAGGCCAAATATGAAAAATCCACAGGTAACATCAAACTCAATGGTGAAAAACTGAAAAAATTTCCCCCAAGATCAGGGGAAACAAAACAAGGATGTCTACTCTCACCACTTTTATTCAACATAATACTGGAAATCCAAGCCACAGCAATTATAACAAAAAGAAATAAAAGGCATTCAAATTGGTAAGGAAGAAGCAAAACTTTCACTATTTGTAGAGATATGATACTATATATAGAAAACCCAAGACTCCACCAAAAAAGTGCTGGAACTGATAAATGAATTCAGTAAGGTCACAGGATACAAAATCGATATACAGAAATCTGTTGCACTTCTATGTACTAATAATGAAGTATCAGACAGAGAAATTAAGAAAACAATGCCACTTACTATGGCACCAAAAATAATAAAATACCTACAACAAAGTTAACCAAAAGAGGTGAATAACCTGTATTCTGAAAACCATAAAACACTGATGGAAAAAAATGAAGATGACACAAACAAATGGAAAGACATTCATTGCTAAATGTCTATACTACCTGAAGCCATCTACAGATTTAATGCAATCCCTAACAAAGTACTAGAACAACTAATCCTAAAATTTGTATGGAACCACAAAAGAACCTAAACAGCCAAAGCAATCTTGAAGAAGAAAAACAAAACTGGAGATATCATAAAACCATATTTCAAGATATAGTACAAAGCTGTGGTTATCATAACAGTACTGGCACAAAAAGAGACACACAGATCAATAGCACAGAACAGAGAGCCAGGAAATAAACCCACAATTATAAGGTCAACTAATCTTTAACAAAGGAAGCAAGAATATGCAATGGGAAAAAGACAGCCTCTTCAGCAAATGGTGTTGGGAAAACTGGACAGCAGCATGAAAAACAATGAAACTGGACCACTTTCTTAAACTACACACAAAAATAAATTCAGAATGGATTAAAGACCTAAATGTGAGACCTGAAACCATAAAAATCCTAGAAGAGAGCTCAGACAGTAACTTCTCTGACATCAGCCAAACCAGCATTTTTCTAGATATGTCTCACGGGGCAAGGGCAACAAAAGCAAAAATAAACTATTGGGACCATATCAAAGTTAAAACCTTTTGCACAGCAAAGGAAACAATCAACAAAACAAAAAGGCAATCTATGAAATGGGAAAAGATAGTTGCAAGTGACATATCCAATAAAGGGTTAGTATTTGAAATACATAAAGAACTGATACAATTCAATACCAAAAAACCCACAAATAATCCAATTAAAAATGGGCAGAAGACATGAACAGACATTTCTCCAAGGAAGACATCCAGATGGCCAGCAGACACATGAAAAGATGCTCAACACCACTCATCATCAGGGAAATGCAAATCAAATCCACAATGAGATATCACCTCACACCTGTCAGAATGGTTAAAGTCAAAAACATAAGAAGCAACAAGAGTTGGTGAGGATGTGAAGAAAAAGGAGTTCTCATGCACTATTGGTTGGAATGCAAACTGGTGAAGCCACTCAGGAAAACAGTATGGAGGTTCCTCAAAAAATTAAAAATAGAACTACCCTACAATCCAGTAATTCCACTAGTGGTATTTACCCCATGAAAACACTAACGCAAGAAGATACATGCATCCCCTATGTTTATAGCAGCGTTATTTGTAATAGCCAAATTATGGATACTATTTAACCCAAGTATCCATCAATAGATCAATGGATAAAGAAGATGCAGTGTATGTATACACAATGGAATATTACTCAGCCATAAAAAAGAATGAAATTTTGCCATTTGCAACAACAGAGATGGAGCTAGAGGGTATAGTGCTAAGTGAAATAAGTCAGTCAGAGGAAGATAAACTCCGTATGATTTCACTCCTGCGGAATTTAAGAAACAAAACAGATGAACAACAACAACAAAAAGACACAAACAAGAGACTCTTAACTATAGAAAACAAACCGATAGCTACCAAAGGAGAGGTAGGTGGGGGATGGGTGAAATAAGTGAAGGAGATTAAGAGTCCACTTATCTTGATGGGCACTGTGTAATGTATAGAAATGCTGCATCACTATATTGTATGCCTAAAACTAATATAACACGGTATGTTAAGTATACTGGAATTAAAAAAATACTAAAATGAAATTAAGTAATTAATAATAAATGAATAGATGTATAATTTACTAATTCCCTTATTACTAAACATTTAGGGGGCTCACAATTGTTCACTATTATGAATGCACTGATAAATATCTTTGCACATGTATTTTTTTCCCCCACTATTTGGATTTCTTTGGGGAGGAGGATCCTAGAAAAGGATCCTTTGGAAAAGTGGAATTACCAAATCCAAAGCTCGGTAAGTCAAATTGCCCAGCTGCTTTCCAAATGTTTACTGATTTATATCATCATTGAAAATATAATTATTGCAGCTGATAGTCATTGAAAGTTTACAACATGCCAGGCACCATTTTGAATCCTTTACATCTGTTATCTTCTGTTAATCCTTAAAACAACTCCAGGAGGTTAAATACTAATACATTATGCCCACTGTAGAAAGAAAGAAAGTGGATAATGTTGTCTTGCTACATTACTATGAAAAGCTCCGTGACTGAAATGGTGTCTCACCATGCTTTTATTGTGCATTTCCTTGGTAATTTTCAAAACTGGGCATTTTTCACAGGTTTACTTTCACATGATACACGCCTCACACAAATACTCCTTCTGTGAATTCACTCTTCCTGTCCTTTGCCCATTTATGCTCTGAAATCTGTCCACTTGTCAATTTATATGAATCATCCTCTAATAAAAATACCTCGTGGATATATCTATCTGCTGAATACACCTCCCTAGATACTATTTTCCTTTACTTTTATACAAATTTTTATACAACTTAATCTCTTATCGAAATTATTAGAAAATAAAGGCCTCTTCAAATGTTTTATATGTACCATTTCTCCATTCTTTTATATTAAAGGTAAGTATGTCTGAATTCTGTTTGGGATATGTAATGCACAACCAACATTCAAATAAGCAATAATCTGCAGAAGAAACAAAACTCATTGTAAGCACAGCATGTGTAAAATATATGAAATCCTATAGGATATCCAGATATATCATTTGTTTTGTTGATTGACAAACAATGCAAGATACAAGAACCTTATGAGGAAACTGTAATGCGTAATTATCCACCAATTATTACAAGTTTTGAATTGGCTTAAACTAGTTCCTTGATGACTTTATAAAGGTAGGTATTACACAGAAAGTTAGAAAATAGTAAAAATACCAACTATTTAACATGTAACAGCTCCTCTTATTAAATCTTCCAACAGGAAGGTGAAGAAATGAAAATAAAATAAAAAGGAAAATAAAAGAGTGACTTTGAGCCCTCGGAATGAAACATAGGTAGGTAGGTAGGTATGATGAACTTGGATTTTTCAAGAGTATGCTGAGCTGTACAAAAAAAGAAAGCCCGGTATCCACAGATGTTTAAGAACAATGAACAGCACCAAACAGAGCATTCAGAGTATCAACTATTCATGAGCTGGAGTTTCATGACACGAAACAGCAGTTTTTAATTCTGGGGTTCAAGCCCAGATCTCAGGTAAACTGCAAGAGCAGACCAGCCAAGTGCCATATAAGAACCTCAGCTCAGCCATGCTGGACCCTGCCTGGCACCTATGAGCAGTGTCCCTCTCGTCACCAGGACTAGAAACAAAAATCTCCTTCAGGTCACTGGCCAGCAACATTTAGAGTTGCTTATCCCAAGCTGGAAAAGTGCCTTCTTTAAAACAAACACTTGTTTTAACAGCATATCAAGTGCATGGCAATAGATCTTTCCGTTTACCATAAGAATTTAGAAATGTTTTCCCTGGAAGAGTTCTGCTGTGACTTCCATGCGAAGGGACAGCTTCTGAGACACAGACTTAGGGACAAATCAAGAGGGTGTCCGTCTTGGGATCTCAGCCACTCTCTCTTCCCACGTCCCCTGACTACACCTCCACCAGGATCCAGGGGAACAAGGCTCAGACCAGTGCGGATGTCACCGAACGCTGTGACAGCAAAACCCTAGGTAGTCTGAAATGTACCCTGCCAGAATGTAGCCAAAAAAAGCAAGGGTTGTCCAGTTCAGAAATGCAAGCTAAATAGCCACACATACCTGTGGTGCCCCCGACGGGTCGTGGCCGGGCCACTGATGGCACATCCTCAGAGTAGATCCCTCGGGTGGCAAACGGGGCTTCAGCCGATGCCTGTGGCTGCTGCGGCTCGGGAGGCAGCAGCTCTGAAGATTGCAGTAACCCGGGGCCAAAACCTGGTCTGAAGGCAAAGCAAGCCCAAGCATCAGGACCACACCTGACCCTGGCTCTGGTACTTTATTAATAAGTTCCACCTTCGGCCCTACAGAAAAATAAGACCTATCTGTCTACTGGTGTATTTTCCATCTCTTCTCCTAGAACATAAGCTCTCGAAGGACAGTGACATTTTCTGTTTGCTCACTGATATATCTCCAGTGTTAAGAACAGTGCCTGATCAACAGATGCTGGATCAATCTCTGCAGGGTGACTGAAGAAGAAATGCCTTAGTTTACAAACCCCGTGCATCTCCAGCATCGAACTAAAGTGATTCCCAACCTCGGCAGCATGTTACCATGTTCTAAAAACCCCGATGTCCATGCTGTACCCCAGACCAATGAAAACAGAATCTCTAAGGGTGCAACCCAGATATGGCAGTTTTTAGAGTTCCACAGATGATCCTGATAGTCATCAAGGCTGAAAACCAGTGCTCTAACAGGGGTTCCCAAACTTTTTGGTCTCAGGACACCTCTAAATTATTAAGGACTCCTGAGAACTTCTGTTAATGTGAATTATATCTATAAATATCTCTTGCATTCGATTAAAAACATTTTCAAATACCTATGTTTAATTTTTTTTTAATTTTTATTTATTTATGAGAGTCACAGAGAGAGAGAGGCGCAGAGACATAGGCAGAGGGAGAAGCAGGCTCCATGCACCGGGAGCCCGATGTGGGATTCGATCCTGGGTCTCCAGGATCGCGCCCTGGGCCAAAGGCAGGCGCCAAACCGCTGCGCCACCCAGGGATCCCCCTATGTTTAAAATTAATCTAAAAATAACAATATTAAGCATCTTAGCTTAACATTTTCTCATGAAATCAACTATATTTTCTAACCCCCTTCCTGCAAAAGAGCAAGAAGAGTTTTGAATTTTTTCAAATTTCCCTAACAGAAGACAGCTGGATTCTCATATACTTTGTATTCAGTCAGTTGCTGTAAGTTATTTTAAGAAGAAAATCTGAACTCACATAATTACATAGTTGGACAAGGAGGACTTAGTAGTCTTTACATATAATATTCAAGTAATATTATAGACAAATATTCTTTGATACACCAAAATTCAGCAGTTTCCTTAAAGTTTAGTGGCAATATGGAATCTGAAATAATATCAGTTAACTTTTTATACTCTGTTACATTAAAACCCACTGGTCCATTTTGCACTTTGAATGGACCCATGCATGCTTTTACCATATGAGTCATTTGGAAAATATTAGTTCATTGAGTTATGCAGACTTTCTAGATATTGATATATTTCATTTGGTAGTATCCAAAAAAATGACATTTATTAATATTACCATTGAGCTCATCAGAAAAGTCTTCTAAATCGTAGGAAGTTGTCAAGTATCCAGGGGCAGACCAAAGTTTTCAAAATTCAAATTTTCACTTGAAAGCTCAATTTTATCACTGGCAACAAATCCTATCAGTTATTTTTCTTGAAGTGACAGGCTCACTTCCTTTATTTTCAAGACAGTGCCAAACAACCCAAGTTTGAATAATGTCTGCGATTGATCTTTCAGACAAAAAAACAGCAACGGTACAGACCAGTTCTTAACACAAACAACTGAACAGGTGCTTTTCCTTCAAAATTCCATGCACAAAATGCTTAATACGTAATTCCTTTTTTGTCCTACAGACTACTAAGGACTCAAGGGCTTTATGTTTTGTTTTGTTTTTTTTTTTGCTTTATGTTTTTAAAAATAGTAATTTTTACTACTTCATCAAGGACATGCTAACATAACTAACAAACCGGAATTTTTTAAAAACTGTGATTGCACAGTGAAGAATATGATGACTACTCGGGCCATTTGGTGCCTCTGTCTTGATGCATGCTAAGGTTCTAGCAGTTTCATACACCACTGTTTCTGCCCCTCAGTATAGGCATCAACACAATAAAAAAAAAAAAAGTCAAATAATGCTTTCATATTATTATGAAACAGTTTTGACTTCATAGGCCCTCCCAGCCTCCTAAAAGGGTCTCAAAGACCCTCTAGGGGTCTGAGAATCCCACTTTGAAAACCATTCTCTGAAGAAACTCAAGAAGGAAAAAACATGATAGTCCAATTACAGTTCTTTGCAAATGACAGTCAACCAGTAATTAACAGATCAAACTAGTTTGATGAGAACATAGATGGACTTGCCCCTATTCTATAGTGTTATTTCTGGAGCACATCTTGTAAATTGAAACCTACGCTATTTATATTGCTCCTTTTAGATCACTGTTACTTTTTAAGTTGAGTTCAGAGAGAGAGATGTCTGACATCTCTGACCTTACAGACCTCAGAGTGTAACATAAGGTATGTTCCTCCTTCAGTGTCTACATACTGGAATTCACCTAATCAAATCATACTCTCTTGACCATCCACCCAAGAACCAGCTTTTGCCCTTTAGTTATTTCTACTTTACCCAATTATCCTCCTCCAGCTACATTTGCATCCTTTTTTTTTTTAAAGAGATGCTTTTTAAATTTTAAAAAATATTTTATTTATTTATTCATGAGAGACACAGAGAGAGGCTGAGACACAGGCAGAGGGAGAAGCAGGCTTCCTGCAAGGAGCCTGATGTGGGACTTGATCCCGGACCCCAGGATCGTACCCTGAGCTGAAGGCAGACATTCAACCACTGAGCCACTTAGGCGTCCCGATTTGCATCCTTTTAATCCTAAACTCTGTGTTCACAGTTCAGTGTGATCCAAATCCCCCAGAATCCTTTAACTTAAGTAACCATAAAACTGGTCATCAAAACCAGACCGCTTTGGAGAGTTAAAAGTTATTAATAATTCCACTAGAAAACAGGTGTAAACTGAACTGAACTGGGCAAACAAGATCAGATGCCCGCCTGCCCCCCCCCCCATTAACTTCTGCTCTGAATCACCTCATCCTCAGGTGCTCTCTTTACCTTTGTTGTTTTTGGACCACAAAGCAGTGCCTGGGTTGGGGAAAAATAAAATAAGCCCCTCGGAAAATGAGAGCAAATAAAGAAAAGAAAAAATGAGGAAACAGATAATATTCCTACTCCTGTGTGACTTGTGGTCATTGAAAGGATAGTGGAGTATTATTTCTGAGATTAACTCTGGTTTTCCACAATTCCTTCTTTGTAATAAATCACTTGTCTACTCATGTGTGGGTCTGTTTATGGACTCTCCACTCTGTTCCTCTGGTCTATTTGTTTAGTTTTACAGTGACACCCTATTGTCTTCATTACCTTACAGTAAGTTACAACCTTCAGAATAGTTCTCACACACTATTTTTCTTTTTCTCAGTGTCTTGAATATTGTTGGCCCTTTGCATTTCCACATATTTTTTTAAAGACAATAAACTACTAGGATTTTGAATGGGATCACAATGAATCTGTAGATCACTTACTGGAGATATATATTTTTAAAATACTGAATTGCCCAATCCATGAACATTTTCTTTAGAGGGCTTGATCATTTTTGGTGAGATTAATTCTGAGATATTTTATATTTTTTAATGCTAATTTATGCAGTACCTTTAAAAGTTTTTGTCTGTTGCTCATAAACAGAAATAAAACAAATTTCTGCATATTGATCTTATATCCAGCTATTTTATAATTTATCTATCTTTGCTAAATTCTCTTAATTCTAACAATTTATGTGTTGACATCTGAGGATTTTCTACTTGAAAATATTTAAGAGTAATAACATTATTATTTAATTCCTTGAATTCCTTCCTCTTTCTTTCTTTCTTTCTTTCTTTCTTTCTTGCTTTCTTGCTTTCTTGCTTTCTTGCTTTCTTCATCTCTTTCTTTCTCTCTTTCTTTCTCTCTCTCTCTCTCTCTCTTTCTTTCTTTCTTTCTTTTTTTCATTACACTATCTAGGACTCCCAGGGCAATGGTGATCAGAGGTAATGCAGGCATGTGTCTTTGTCTTGCCCCTGTTCTCTAAAGGAGAGCTTTTAACATTTCAACATGAAATCATTTGCTGGGATAACTGTTACCAGATTAGACAAGTTCACTTCTATTCTTTGTTTGCTAAGATTTTTACCACAAATGGATGTTGAGTTTTATCAAATGCTGTATTTATGAAGTGAGATTTCCCTCTTTTATTCTCTTCAGAGTTGTGAATTGGATTGGTTGATTTTTCAAAATATTAAATTACCCTTGCATTATTGGAATAAATCCAGTTTAGCAGTGACATGATATCCTTTCGTATATAATGCTAGATATGTTTGCTATATTTAGTTTCAAGTTTCTGTATCTATGTTCATGAGTTTTTTAATGTTTTCTTTCCTACAATTTCCCTATCCTTGTCTCATCCTTGATATTAAGGTTAAGTAAGCAGTCTCAAAGAATGAGGTGGAGAACAATCTCTGTTTTGATATTCTTTAGATAAATTTGAAGAACACTGGCATGTTTCTTTCCTTCGGTGTTTTTGGTAGAATTTACAATTGAAGGGATCCCTGGGTGGCGCAGTGGTTTGGCACCTGCCTTTGGCCCAGGGCGTGATCCTGGAGACCCGGGATCGAATCCCACATCGGGCTCCCGGTGCATGGAGCCTGCTTCTCCCTCTGCCTATGTCTCTGCCTCTCTCTCTCTCTCTCTCTGTGACTATCATAAAAAAAAAAAAAAAAAAAGAATTGAAGCCCAAAGTTTTCTTTGTGGGATGAATTTTAGGAATGATTTCAATCTCTTTAATAGTTATATAACAATTCAGGTTTTCTCTTTTTAGGAATTTTTCCACTTTATTTTGAAAAAAAGAAATTTCTACTTAATATACTTTTTGGAGTAAACTCTACCCCCAAAGTGGGGCTTGAACTCACAACCCTAAGATCAAGAATTGCATGCTCACCGACTGCACCAGCCAGGTGCTCCAGAATTTTTCCATTTTATTTTTTTTTAATTTTTTTATTTATTTATGATAGTCACACAGAGAGAGAGAGAGAGAGAGAGAGAGAGAGAGAGGCAGAGACACAGGCAGAGGGAGAAGCAGGCTCCATGCACCGGGAGCCTGACGTGGGATTCGATCCCGGGTCTCCAGGATCGCGCCCTGGGCCAAAGGCAGGCGCCAAACCGCTGCACCACCCAGGGATCCCCATTAATTTATTTTTTTTAAGCTTTTATTTATTTTTTTGAGAGAGTGAGCAAAAGAGAACATGAGCAGGGGCAGAGGGAGAAGGAGAAGCAGACTCCCCACTGCGCAGGGAACCTGAAGTGGGGCTCCATCCCAGGACCCCAGGATCGGTACCTGAGCTGAAAGCAGACGTTCAACCAACTGAACCACCTAGGTGCCCCTAATTCATTAAATTCTCTTCTTATTTTTATTATTTCCTTCCTTCTACTTCCTTTAGGTTTAATTAGATTTCTTTAAACACTGACATGGATGCTTAGATCATTGATTTTCAGCCATTTTTCTTTTTAAATATGTTTTGATTCATTTAAGGCATCGAAGTCCCCCCTAAGCATGCCTTGAGATGTGTCTCACAACTTTTACTATGTCGAATTTTCAAGACTCCAAGCCCCATGAGTCTCTCCAAAGTTTTGCTCAGCTTCTCAGTCACCTCCTCCACAATTAGCAGGCACACTTAGGAGAAAGTTCGCTCAAAAGGTAGGGCTCCTCACTCTGGATTTCCTGGATCTTGGCCCCATACCACTTCACTGCCCTGTCAGCTATCTGGGTTTGGTTTTGCTTTATTTTAAAATCTTCTCTAGTTTTTCCAGTTGCCCTCAGTAAATTATCTAGTCTGTCATTCCTGGAAGCAGAACTTAAATTCCACCTTTCTTCTCCTCTTCAGATTAGCCCAAGAGAAACACACAACTCAGAAGTTTTACATCTGCTATTAGCTCAAAGAACTGAATTTCCAAAATTTTTAAAAACAACCTATGTGATGAAGTCCTAATGCATTTTCTCCTGAAAACTTTACCTCGGCAATGGACCTGATGGAGGAGTCATTCCATAGTCTTCGTATCTCTGGAAGAAAACCAAAAGAAAATGATAATCAACATTCAACATTTATTAGAAGGTGACAACAGCAAACTTACAAATTTAGGTTGACAGCATCAACTTTCAAGAGAATTATTTTCTCATAAACAGTTGGCATGCCATTGAGGCATCATGCCATCCAATAATGCCAGAAGTTTCAGTGTGGGAAACTGAGCTGCCATGCTTTAAAAACACATACAACTAATTTCTAGACCTTTCTTTTATAAAAATATGAGTTAACACACAGCCTTCCAGCATCTGTTCTTCCCTACAGGGTCATTCTCGACAAATCTGTATCTTCTGCTGAAGGCCTTAGTGGCCACACTTAGTAAATGACTTTATCAACATGGGCCATGATGGTCATCAGAGCCAGCGGGCATCCAGCAGCAATTCAAATACACTCACAAAACTAAAGTATACGAATGCTGTACTGTGCTGTGGAACACTGTAAAAAGAGAAAATACAAAGAGAACCAGAAATTAGAGAGACTCTTAAAGATGAAGCGAACACCTTCAGTTTTTGAGTTTTCTGGTTCCTGGGAGGTCCAGCCATACTCCTGCCCTTATGTTCCAACTGATGCCCCATATCCTTCAACAACTCTTTTTACTTGAGCTTATCTCAGCTAACCAAGTGTTCTTTGGGTAAAACAATCAATATGGCATCAGATTTGAAGAAACATGTATCCATGTTGTGTTCCTCATGAAATTGACACATCCTAACCCTAACATTTGTGGGACTCCAATTTCAAAACTTCTTTCAACAACTGTGAATCACTATTTGGGAATCAGATATCTTAACAGAGCAGGAACTGTGGACAGAGTCCATCCAACTACAGTCAATTTGAACCCACTGGTTGTCCGGGATCCAGAGCTCCAAGTGAAGTTACTAATTACTAAGTCAGCCTTGCTTCTGGACCTGCTCTCATATTAGATTTTTTCTAAGCTTCTTTTTAACGAATTTGTATTTTATGGTAAGAACTATGAGCACTGACTCAGGCCCCAGTAACAGTAACAAAGAGATGAAATCAACTCACAAGGAAGTTAATTTCTTCCTAATCAATCTTTCTGATTCAAAAGACCATGCTCTTAACCACCACACTGTACTTGGTTCCCAAACCAGATTTCCCCCCTTGAATAAATCTCTACTTTGTGAAGAAAAGTAGAGGCTTTGGAGTCAGACTAGCCAAGCTACTCAACTTCCCTGGGTCTATTTCTTGATGCCAAGAAGGACAGAATGAACTCTACCCCTCATACAGTTTGAAGGGATTATTACATATGAAACTGCTCAGATTACTTCACCTTCTGACCCTCTCAGCTTCCACCCCCGTGGCAGAGGGAGGGAGATGAGAACCATGTAGAGCTCCTCAACTGAATTAAAACAGCCAAAGGAGATTACAGAAGAAGGGAAGAATAGAAGGAAAAGGAGCTTTGATTCCTTTTCAAATAATTAAAGGGAAATCTGAGACCAGATAAAGATTATTCACAGTGACCCCTGTGTTTTTCAGCAGTTTGATTTTTTTAAACATACTCATAGGCAAAATAAAACAAAAAAAGATCAAAGTTTACCTATCAGGATTTCAGGAGGTCTGGTCAGTGATAAACTAACAAAAAAAGTGAAAACTAGCTGTCCACTCTATACCTGTTTTGTTAATGTGGCATTTAACTAGGCATTTCAACTCTACTATAATCAGAAAAACGAAGTGATTTTTCCAGATACTGCATGCCCCAATGAAAAGGATTTAAGAAAAAAAAATCACAGACATAATGACAGGTGTTTACTTTAAGTGGGCCACATTCATATAAAAGTTTGGGCAAGAAAATAGAATTTTAAGGTTTCAACTAGTAATGTCAAATAAAAATCTCATTTTAATGCATCTCTTCCTTCTATTTAGTATAAAACAGGTCAACAGAGCAAGACAGTCATGTTAAATCGTTGGTGGAGTCTGCGATAGGTGTGCTATACCGAAAATGTCCTGGTTCAGGCATCCACACTTGGTACTTAGCAGACTGTTCCAGGGAGGTTAACTTTACTCAGGGATACAGAAATACCACCTATGAAGTGGCCTACTCACCGATGCATAACTAAAACTATCACACTGGCAAAAAAAAAAAAAAAGAGTAAAAATGTCATTAGATGGTACACAAATGTTCATGTGGTAACTGGTGATAGCTTGAAATCTACATTTTTGTAGTTTTTACTGTAGTCAGAAGAAGGGAATAAAGGATGATCAGGTTCCTCCTGGCAACAAATAGTAATTTACAGCCAATTTCAGAACATGATAAAATTATATTAGATATGCACAGATAGAGCCAATGCTTCTGATTTTCCACTAGATTAAACTGCTATTATCATCAAAACATATAAGGGTAACATCAAAGGTTGATGATGAGAAAACCACGCAGTAAGAGTGTTTATAAAAATCTTGCTATTGATTGGAATTTGGATTAAGGCATTATCATGGAACTGCTCATTTCTAAAACCTATGAACAATGAACAAATAAGAAAAATAGTAACACAAATCAGTCAAAAATTATTGCTGAAATTCATCAGCAGAAACCAAACAAGGAAGAATGGAGCAGATTCCTGACATAAACTGAGAAAAGTAGTAGCCAAAGGATGAAGGATTATGGCTGCATAATGGTAAATATGAATAGCAATTCCTTTTTAAGTTCAAAGATGAGATGATAAAACAACAGAATCAATGGAAATGAGAGATCACAGAACTGAAATAATTGGGACCAGATTATTGGTAGAAATGATGTGAGGACTGAAACAATGCCATTATGACTCTAAGAAATCAACTAGCAGGGAAAAGAATAGATATGGCTTAAAAATCGAATCAACTGCCACAGAGAAAAAGGCCCATGATAATTATAAAGAAGGCAGAGAAACCAGGACAAAGTAGCTAAAGTCATTAGAGAATAAAAGGATAGATATAGAAACCAAAGATGAGCCAACACGAAGATAATTGGTATCTTTGACTCCAATAAATAGAAGAGAATAAGAAGATTATTTCAGATATAAAAGGATGTTTCCCTGAAGTGAATGAAAAGCTGAATCTGAAGATAAAATGGACACTGGCTATTCAGGGGGGAAAATGATTCCGAAAAACTGGCTGAGTGTCCAGAATTATTTACGCTTCCTAGCAGGTAGGGTACGTACATCCCTTACCAGGAGAGGGGAAATTAAGATGGCTACAGATTTCTTCACAGAACAATTTAAAAAGCATTAGGAGCAGTGAGAAGTAACATACAGATGCCAGCAGCAAACGAGGTCACGTAGAAAGTTAGATGAGAACTCTGCTTTGCAAAACTCAACACTAAGTCAAACGGCTACTGAAGGTCTCCCTCTTTGTGCCAAGCACCCCCATCCTCCATAGGAGGCATCTCCTACGTCAGCCTCTCTGCTTCCCAGCCTGCTCAACACCAATAATGGTATTTTACATGCCAGCCACCCACTCTGACAACCTGCATTCAAGACCAGGGGCAGACGGACAATCAGGAAGCTCCTGCAATGGTGGTGAGAGATGATGGGGGCTCCAATGCAGAGGATTAGAGAGAAGAATCTACAAAGCTGCAGCATGTTTAATGGACTCCAAATCCTTGACCTTGCCCTTCAGTGTATGGTCTACCACCCTTTCAACTGCACCCTCTAATCAGCACATCTCTTGTCCACTGTCCTTTCAACACATTTGCCTGACAAAGCCCAACTACTCCTGGATCAATTCAACCGCCCACTGTCTCCCGGTCTCCATTTGGGTATCTGAATGCTCATCAACAAAACTACAGATTTTAATTTGTCCCACTGTAATTTCATGATAGTCAATCTCAACAGGGGCTACAATGCTGCTAAGTAATTATTCCTATGTTCCTAAGCAGTTGTCTTTCATTCTCTACAATCAGTAAGTACAACCTCTGCTCTCCCTCACACCTCTTGCCCTGCCACACTTCCTTCATTCTCAATAAATAACTCTGCTTTCTCCACTGTGAACACTGAAGCCACAATGAGATGGAAGGCCCCTCCACTTTCTGCCACCTACTACAAACAGGACTGCATCTGCACCCAACTCCTTCCCCCTCCTGCTATTAAACTGGAAGAAATACATCCCCTTGTTTCTAAAGATACCTCCTCCGTCATTACTCGGATCCCCTTTCCTGTATCACCAAACTCTCCCACTGGACTGGGTCAGTGCCATCAGCAATTAAACACCGTGAAGCCATAGAGATTCTTCCTCTTGAATCCATTCACTGCATCATGCTGGTTGGGGCTGTCAACATCACTCACCAAAGATTACTATGACAGCTTCCTAAATGTCTCCCTGCTTCTGGTCTTGCACTCTGACAAACCATTTTCCAGCCTACAATGAGAGCAATCTGTCAAAAAGGCACAATGAATTATGTCTTTAGACTGCTCAAAACTCTTCAGTGTCCAGCCATGAGGTCTCAGGATGAGGTCTCAGCTCTATTCCTGTCAGCTTCTTCTTTTTCTCTCCTGCCTCATGTCTCACCACTCAGTTCTCCCTTTTTAACAAGTCAACCAGAACTAATTTCACCGTTAAGAATGTTTTGGGACAATAATTTTAACAGCTTTATTTCATTATAATTGACATACAATGAACCACACATATTAAAGTATACAAAATGTTAAGTTTTGGCAAATGTTGGTATCCACAAACCATGCTCATAAACCAGACAATAAACATTTCCATTATCACCCAAGTTTCCTGGTGCCCCTTTGTAAGCCCTCTGTCCCACACCCTTTACCAAATTCACTCCATCCCTAGGCAACCACTGATCTGCTTTCTGTCACTATAGATTAGTTTGCATTTTCTAGAATTACATATAAGTGGAATCATACAATATGCACTTTTTTTTGGTTGGAGGGGTGGCTTCTTTCTCTCAACATAACTATTCTGAGACCCAACCATGTTGTCACATGTATAAATAATTCATTCCTTTTTATTACCGAGTAACACTGTAAAAATACAG